CGAAAAAAAGACTCAAGAAAGAATATGGCTTTTTGTCGATATTTTCATTTACACGATATTTTCATTTCGTTCAACAATTTCATAGTTGGCAATTGTGGTATTTGTGTGGAATTTTTATTTGGACTCCATTTTTGGCTCGTTCAGTTGTACTTCGTGGCAGTTACACTGATAAAGTGTCTCGAATATCGAATTTCTCTTGGTAATCAAAGTGGCACGACGTAAAATGAAGGAAAACTGATAAAATTCCATTTGTGGCAATTGGCACCTTTTGTATGGAAATCGATTTATTTGACTTAGTAATAAAATTTTAGTTCGGTTCATGGTGTTTGCCTGCTATTGATTGTTTCATCTGGAATTTTCTCAACATAGAAAACGTACTGAAGAAAGGTGTTCGTAAGTCGTGAACCAACTGACATCAGAGTAACAATGCTGTTGGACAAGTTCTACAAGTCGCAGCCAAAACATATTTTTTAAGAAGAAGATAACGATGACGACGAAAAAAAGCAGCCGTCTTATGTTAAAAGAAAGAAAAAGTCTAAGCCACTTCATGCACACGGTGAGCTGAAAATGTAAAATATTGACATCTACACGCACATTCGTCGGATGTTTATTTCAACGTGGATTCTAGTTTATAAGCAGCGCGGCCAATAGTTTCACATGGTGAAAAAAGAAAACATCTTGAATGCCAGTTTCAAAGATAAAAATGTATATGAATAAAAAAAAAATACACGCACACATGAGATAGAGAGAAGAGGCCAAGGAAAAAGAAGAAGCAACAACAATTTACACACATGCCAAGAAAACGCACGAGACGAACGAGAAGTGAAGTCAAAAACCTCTGGCGCACTGAACAACAGGAATAACACACGAAAAAAAACAACAAATCTCACTCACACGTGCACACTTCATACACTCACTCACTCACACTGATAGGTTTTGTTGAGAAGAAAAAATAATCCATCAAAAAAGAAACAAAAAAAGGCACAAATTAACGAAACAAAAATAATGTAAAGAAAAGCACTATGTTGGACTATGTATACACGCGGCTGCTAAAAAAAAATTGTGCCTGTATGTTCTGTATTTAGTTCTATCGCGTTGTATTTTCAACTGTTTGTTTAACATTTCCACTATATATTCTCTGTGTGTGCGTTCTCGTTTTTCTTTTTCGCTGCTCATTGTTTCGTTTATTATTATTTTTCTCGTGCATGAAAACAATCACTTTAGGCACAATTCACAAATACACATGCACCGGGAAGTAGTAACAACAACACATTCCGTGAGCACAATACAGTCACATAAATTGTGTGTACAGTTACATATCACAGATGTGTACGGGGTCGAATACAGTCATATGCCGTATATACATATACATATATATATATATATATGTATCGTCGATAAAATGTACTTTTTTTCACTTCGAAGAGCTGGTTTTTCATTGCATACCAAACCAAATCGAGCTAAACACCGTCGACGATGTCGTTGTTGTTGTTGTTGTCACACAATTACATGGATGCGTGCATTGAGTATTGTGCTGTGCTGAGCACAGAGCATCCCTCTTCGTTCAGCACAAGCCAAAGCGAAACCATTTGGCAATGTAAACTACAGAACGACGTATGAAAAAGAGGCTGAAATACGTTGATTGGATCGATGGATGCGTGTGTATGTGTTGAGTTCGAACTGTATGCTTTGTTGTTATTGCTTTCTCTGATGTGACTACGTGATATGATGGAAAACGGCTGAAGAATAGATCCGAAATGCGCGTGTGTTTTTTTTTATTAAGACAACGACCGCAGCCATCGAAAATTTCTAACGACAACCATTTCAATTGTCAAATAAAACATTTCGTTTTCTCGCTTCTTCTTCAATGCAAAATTGGAGCAAAACAGTCTTCGTTGAAATGGTTGCCAATCGCGATAAATAAAAACACGACGTAAGCGAAAAAGTAAAGCATTCCAAACGAACAAGTGACTGTGTGCGTTAAAGTATAAGTCCATTTCGAAACGAACAACAACAACAACAAAAAAACTCGACCAACAAAATTGGTTACAGGGCGTTCACATTTCGTTTGGTCGTATAAATTGCTGGTGGCGTATTTGTCTGTTACGGTGAACAAAATATGATAATAGTAATAACTAACTGAACTGTAGACGAAGGCACACAAATTCAGTGCACACAATGTTGTCATTTTGTTACAGCACTTCTGGTCTTTCAATCAGCAATTATCTCTCGACCAGTTTGTGTTTTCCATTAGAATTTTTTGCTTTTCGTTTTGATGATATTGTTTTACTGGCATGCGAGTTATATGTATGGAAAAAACGTGTTTTTCAATTGATCTGAACACTCAACATAGCCATGTGATTTTTTTTATTTTATCGCATTGAACACCAGACATTTTTTTTTGTTACGATAGGAAGTGATGGAGATTAAAATACAATGTCACTGATGATTAGGGCGATCGCATAGTAAATATTACATGTTTTCACAATCTGTTGTTATCATAATTTGACTTTGAAAACAAATAAAATATAATTTGAATTACGAGCCCGTCCAGACGAATCGATCGAACAAATATGAATGGATATTAATTTAATGTGATGCAATTTCCGTCATAGGAAAATAACATGTCTAATGGATGAATGCGTGGGTTGTGGTCTGCATAAAATCGATATTTAAAGATATCAACAAAATTTCAATAGACAATGTCAACCACGCGCGCGATGCCGTCGAAATATGCATAGGATGAACGAATGGCGAACAAAAAAATCAATCAACACTTCATTCACACAATGGGCTTATGACACCAAAATTTCAATAGACAATGATGACGCGCGAAAAATCGACGATTCAAACTCAATTTTCGCACATGCAATGTGACGAAATTCACACCAGCTATGGAAAAGAGTGGAGAGAGAGAGAGAGAGAGAGGAAGAGCGTTGGTCATTCACCACAGACTATAATATGCCGTAACGATGCGCTATAGATTGCCCATTTATATTATCCATGTCAAAAACAGTGCCTAAAACTGCCTGCAGCCTGCACACATGTTGAGTTTCAACGAGGCTTTTTTCTTGCCATTTTGCTAGCGATTTCATTCACCGCAGACAAAATCAATTTTCATAAATCCAATCTGCATAGAGAATTTGGGATGAGAGAAAAACAGAAAAAAAGAAATGGTGTGCAAAAATCGATGGATTATAATAACATCGCGCCTAAATTGATTAGGCTGATTGAAGGACTGAATATGTCTTGAATGGAAAAAATGTTGGGTTGCGCACGTTAGACGATGGCAACGAAGTATCAATGTGCCCTCACTGTGGAAAAGTCGAGCGAGCGAGCGTAGGAGTGAATAGCATTTTTGCTGGGCTTTATTTCATCGGCGCCTTTTCGAGCACCATTTATTTTCTTCTTTTTTTCCATTTTATTCATGATGTATTTGTTATACGCTCACTGCTATCGGCTCGCAACCGTTCCACTCCACAATATTGTGTGTCCAATTCGGGCGAAATAGCTGCAGAGCCGTAGATTCTGTCGATGCTGTTTATTGTATATCGTTTTCTGTCTCCAACACAGTTCAGTTCATTCGATGGATTCACCACCTTCGTCACATACATAGTATATATACCGTACATTCGAAATAGGTAAAGCAAATAGAATGAACGTGTATGGTTCACATAGCCGACTCGATGTCGAGCCGATGCGCGTTTCTCTACCATCCATTCTGTATGCTTCGAGTGTGTAATACATAATGTAAAAGCGTTACAACAAAACCGTTCGCTCGGCTATAGCAAATATAACAGACTAAAATCACGGAGCAAATGGAAACAATGGCGAAAAAATCAATAAATAAAGGAACTCAGACAAAACAATCAGACGATGCGAGAAAGAGAAAAAGAGACAATGCAAGCCTAGGAAGAGTGTATATTTTGAATTTTAAGTTAAATTTCCATATACACGATGGAAAAAAAATATAAGTGTTTGCCTTACGCTCGCAATGGCAACGCATTCTGGAACGCCAGACACTAGAATGAAATCAGTGTTTTTTTTTTATCAGTTCGATATGGTCGTCGCAGACATGAATTCATGTTTTGTGAAAATCACATACTACCACATCGTCGATATATAAATTTATATTGAAACACGCGACTAAGAGGCACATCACGACACAATCGCGATATGCACACCTCTTGTTGCCCATTCAGTTTTGGAGTCGTGTTCTTTGTTTCAGTTGTTGTTTAATAAACACCCGACAACACAATACCATGGCAGCACATAATGGAAATTATTATAAGAACACACATGGTGCATGGAACAGACACACACAATCATTGCTCGCATCGTGACCAGTCAATACGATGCGGATTTATCTATTGATTTGAATAAATAATGGAAAATTATTATTTTTGTATTGGGTTTTCCGTTTGAATCGATTTTTCCGTCGAGGCTTTGTGAGCCAACTAATTGAGAACAATATGCGCACGGCCGATCGCAACGACAGTTCAATCACATCGCATCAATAGGTTACACAACAACCCTTTCGTTGTTGGCGTGAGGCGCGAAGAGCCTAGCAAAATACAAAACAACGCATGCATACACTGCATCACACTCAAATTAACTTCAACATGTTGACTGCATTCAGCGTACTCGGGGCTAAAAATGTCATGCTGCAAATGATAGCGTCGTCAGCACCAGTCCTATTTTTATACACAAATAATAATAAACGAAACGTAACTACTGCTTTCTTTTCGTCATCGTTCACATTGTTCTTTTATGTACACTTTTTTCTAGTTGCGAGTGTGTTTGTGTGTGTGTTTAGAACAAAGCTGGTCGCTTCAACGATGCGGTAATTCTAATGCACTTCAACCGCATGTTGTCTTCTTTTTATGTCGTATCCGATCGATAATTTCATGTCACTTTATGTCTTATTCAACTATGACTCTTTTTTTTTTCTTCATTCCTTTTTTTAGATCACAAACAATAGACTCTCAGTCGGAACTTACATTCAATTATTGATTTTTCTGTTCATTTATTATGTCGCACTGTTTCGTTATTCGATCGAGTTTTATTTCACTGTGCTTTTACATTTTTTTCTTCGTTTTATATTTCAACTCGTTATCTTAATCGTCACATGAATTGTGTGTTTCAGATTTCAACTTTCTTAATTTAATAAAATCGCAAATATTATGCACCGCAAAAATGATTTTGAGTGCTGATTAGGTTGGCGCGCTCACTTTGCATTATATATATAGTGTGTATATGGCGAACCGCTTTAGTTGAGCGCAATATTGCTGAAATATGTGCAGCGTCGACAAGTTTTCATGACGACAAATAACATTCGACGGGAGCAACAACAAATACCATTAACCGAATCGATTTCTCACTACACGCATTTGGCCGCATTGATATCACCAACGGCCACTACAACACATGGCTTCTCTCTCTCTCTGTGTAGACACGGAATCATCGTCTCATTCTTCTTTTTCTCGCTCTCTCTCTCTATCTCTCTCGTTTAATTATAAATATTTATTTTCGAGCATTTTTTCGATTTAGTTTCCCGCTCACAACCATACTTTTTTTTGTCGTTGTATTTCTTGTTTTCTTCTCTCACTCTTCGCTTCAACTCTCATTTCATTTTACAGTTTCACTTTGTGTTTGCTTTTATTCCATTTTTTTTCATTTCTATTCTGTGTCGTCTTTCGTTTCAATGCAGCAGCGCATATTCAAATACTGAAATCCACTTGACCCACGAGCACGCTATGAAATACATCGCGCACGCACACAAACATCGAAATATTTCTCAATTCATTTTCAAGTTACAGTTAATTCTGAACATTTCGCTGAAAACAGAAGAATTTGTAGCACAATCCAAATAGTACACTCTCTCACAGTCAGAGTGAGAGAGCAATGAATGAACCCAAAAAAAAAACAGAAAAACAAAATATTTCACATCGTGATCGAAGCAGTCGTCGTCGTTGTCGACGTCTCACACAGCCCGTTTCAATGGAGAGCAAAGCCATGAACAAATAAAAATACACACACACACTTCAAATTACGGCAGCGAGCAAGACGAAATCCAACAACGAAATTTAAAAAAAAATACAATTCGTATATGTAGTATGAACAAAAAACCCTATGCTGTTTATAGGCATACATTTTTTTTTCGCTTACTAAATTACCGAATACACACAAATTGTAAGAAAATACTCTTTGCCTCGTATTTTCGATTCCGATTTTGATAACACACTTAACAGCAGCAGCAGCAGAAAAAAATTATTCTCTGTACATACTGTACGAAGTTTTGCTCGAATCCGATGAAATATCAAATGCAAAATGTGTTGTATTGCACACTCTCACACGAAATTCATTTTCATTTTCTTTACCTGGGATTTTTCGTTTTATTTGAACTTTTTTTTCGTCGTTTGTTGTTTTTTGCTTTACTGTTTGATTTTCACAACGATTTCATTGTCATTTTCTCGATAGAAAACATCAAATAATTGTGGAAATCGACACAAAGAAATTAAAGTGGAAACGAATTAAATTGAAAACTAAAGCGAATAGATGATATGGTAGCCTGACCGCCCGACAAGAATCACAATCCAACTCGATTTGAAAACGCACAACACACAAACATGGCCACGAACGTAGCAGCAACGATGAAATTATATTGATGAACAAGCAAAGAAGAATAGATGAACTCACCCATACATGTGCAACGCGCAACGGTGTGTGAGTGTGTATGCGATCGCAATAGAAGTTTGAATATTCTAAGTATTTGACCGTATCCACAATGCCTGCTCGGTTGATAAACGTAGTTTTGGATTCGTTTTGTTTTTATTGAGCACATTGGTGTGCGTACGTGCTATTCGAGCCATGCCCTAACACCATCGTACGACTTGAATGCACACAGTCGCACACTGGGTCATCGAACAAGCAAATCCATTGTTTATGTGTGCGAGAAAAACAAAATGGCGCTGTTCAATGCACAATGTGTGATTTTGGTTGAAATTGCACAGGACATCTATCGAAAATGCGAGGAAACAGTTGTTCGAGTGTCAATGTGCTCACACTGACAGGCGAAACGATAAACGTCAACCACAATCAAAACATTGTTATTCGAATAGTTGCGTCGCATCGATTGAAATCGTAAACAGCCGAAGTGAATTTGATTTTTAAGGAAATTTCAAAGCAACGCATTGCTTCAGCGAATTTTCATACGTGAGCATCGATGTTAACCAAAGCACAGTTTGTAAATCATCAACAAATTTCCTGTAAGTTTCACTTTATCGGTTTCCCGCCGTTTTAGGTTAGTTTTTCACCGGATTGAGTAATTCTTAAACGAAGTTATTTCAATTTGATTTTCTTCGATTTTAAAACAGAAATGGCTGAAAATACTACGAGCACTGAGGCTGCAGCCGAACAAGATGTATTACCAAAAGAAAATCATCCGAAATGTTCATTCACCGAAAATAATTCACATTCACCCAAGAAACGTGCTTCAGATTCGCAACCAAACAGCAGTCCATCGAAAAAACTACGACTGGAGCTGCCAAAACCAGTGACAAATGGTCATGAAAAATTCAACGGGGCAAAAAACAAAAATAAGTTTATTTACGGCAATTACAATCGGTATTATGGCTACAGGTGCGAGAAAAATGTTGAAGATGTACGTTTGAATGCTCTCATCCAGTACGAGGAGCTATTCATTGGCAAGGAAATTGTGGACATTGGCTGCAACGATGGATCATTAACAATAGCGCTGGCCAAACGTCTCCCCATAAATTTCATCAGTGGAATCGACATCGATGCCAATCTGATTGGCAAAGCTCGTCGAAGTGTTGTGCATGAAACCCAGGCCATTGTAAACAATAACGATAAGAATGTTATTAAGCAAGCGAACTTTCCGAACAATATTGCATTCAAGCAATGTAACTATGTGTTGAGCAACGACAGTCTGTTGGAGTTGGATGAGCCGCGGTATGACACAATTCTGTGCTTGTCAGTCACCAAATGGATTCATTTGAATTTCGGCGATGATGGCTTGAAGCGGGCTTTCAAACGAATGTACCGCCAACTCAAAGAGAATGGAACGTTGATCTTAGAAGCACAGGACTGGAAGAGCTACAAACGCCGAAAGAATCTCACACCCGAAATCAATTTGCATTACAAAAACATTCAACTCGTCCCAAAACAGTTTCACGATTATTTGATGAGCAGTGAAATTGGATTTGAAAGTTTCTACGCAATCAAATTACCACAAGAACATTCCGCAAACGGATTCAAACGGCCAGTCATCGCATACAAAAAGGGTAAAGGCTCAACATCAAGTTGATGGAGCTGAACAGGCGTTCTAAATAAATTACATTTTAGTGAACGATTTATTCGAAACCGAAGGTGATAAAATACTTAGGTACAACTAAAGACTGAACTATGTAAGAGATTCAGTAGGTTTTATTCAATAGAATACACATGTAATTTTAAACGATTTGTTAAAACTTTATTTGAGAAAGATACAAGCCTCAAGGCACAATCCATGTTAATGGTTTAACTTGGCCAATAAATTCACTTTTTATAATTAATATGAATCAGAAATTTTTCTTAATTACTTGTTCAATAGATGAAGTTATATTTTTTATAGACAAATGAAGCCTGTTAAAGTAAATCTAATCAAATGTTGGTTCGGATGAAGCGCCATCTGCCGACAGTCTTCCGTAGTTTGAATCGGAATATTTTATGGTACTAACGGCCAAACTGGATCGAAATAAAGCTTCTGAATCAATCCACATGAGCCATTGGGATCATCATCATCATCATCATCCTTAGTTGATTTGAAGTCAATGGTGATTCCAGATTTGATTTCAACTTTTTCTTTCAGTAGTTTACTGTAATAAATTCCGAGGGGTAATTGTTCCATGTGAATGCGGTACGTTGATCCTGGTTTGATGAGAATTGGCTTGTCGAATCTTTCACATCCAGAATTAGTAGTTAAATTTGTTTGACCTTCGTAGAGTAACACTTTTTCAGTGGAAATAGCACTGTGCGGAATTTCCTCAATGGCAATTTTCATTTGAGGTGAGTGATATTTTTTTCCATCATGTCCGATTATCTTGGGCAAATGAATTGTATGCAGCAAAAGTGGATCCGTGGATGAGAATGTGGTTGTGTCTTTGGTTCGAGCCCTTTGATTTTGAGATGACAAAATTTTTCGATTGCAAATAATTTCTGCTTGTCTCTTTTCGTCATTTGCGGCATCATTAATTTTCAATTCGCGTTTGCTTCGAATGCCATTGAAAAACTTCGATTTGTGTTGCTTGCTTCCAATCATTTGGATAATATCTGTGTATTCATCGAATGAAAATATCTCACGATGCGATGAAGTGACTGTAGCGAATTCATTTATTGACATCGATCCGAAACGAAGATAGCGAAACAAATTGCCGAGATGGGACTTTACCAGCTTTCTGGACAATTGGCTTTGATTGGCATTGGCTTTGACCCAATTCATGCACGCTTCGAACAGCTCAACCTCTGTGCATGATAATACATCTATGTTCAGAATTCCGCTCACCACGCTTCGGCTACACTTTAGGAATTCGGCCGATTCCAGAATTGGTTTGGTGTTGATCCCGATTAGTTTCTCCAACACGTTCACTAAGTCATCTTGATCAAATTGAATCGCCAATGCATACCGCTGCAGAATGCTGTCATTTGTGAGTGTGTTCACCATAAATTTTTTGCACACGGTCATACACTTGGTAACATTGTACTTGTGACCAAGTTTGAAGACTACATTGATGTTTGCTACGGTCAATTTCACTCGATCGATGTAGAAAAATTGCAAAAACTCCTTGAACACACTGACCGATGTATCGGCTATTTCAACTTCATCTTTTTCTTTCCACTGTCCATTGAACATTACGCGAAAAACATCGCTAGCTGCCATCAGAAGAATTTTGTGTGCCGGCACTCGTTCAACATGATTATCATTCGATTCGAAAATGAAATTTACGTCGGCCAACTCTGGATTCAAATACAGACCATTTCCAATGTCCGAGAAGACTTGACTTGTGCATTCGTAATCATTAGACGCCATTGTGACCTTTGGTATCAATAAGAAAAACGATTTTGATCGAATTATCAACATGATTTGGACATATTCTAATGCATCCCATGAGATAGTTATAATGGCGTCTCTCAGAACCAAAATCAATATATATTACCTTTTTTACAAGTTGTGTGTCAAAATTATTACGGTGTTTTGTACAAAGAGCGGGAACGATTATTGAAAAATAACTACTTTCGATTTGATAATACCGGGAATTGTGAATGTCTTTATACTGCGCACAATTTTTCGGTATAGAATTTTATGGCTTGAAATTTAGCATAAGAGTGGTAAAGAGAGTAAGTCGATGTGACAACTGCTGACAACTGTAAAACTAAACACCGAACACAGCATTGTGTGCGAGTGTTTGACTTAACACACAGCCAAAACTGCAACAGTGTGATTTTTCAAATGTCACTTCGGAGTGTTTCGTTCCACTCGAAGCGGGACTTTCGAATGGATGAAATTATGCAATAAAAATCCGAATAAACAAATCTTCAAAGTTCAAATTAAATTGTTTTCTCTTTATTTATCTATATTCAACATTTAAATGTATAAATCTGCGTGACATTGAAACAAAGCGAATGTGTGAATCATTTTGTCAGTTGAAAAAGAGAAAATTCTGCATAATACATGTATATATAATTTAATAGCTAGGCCTTTTTTTCGATAACAATAACCATGAGTTTGTTCTCCTTAGCATACAACTTCCTTTTGCAATATATACACAATATATTGTATGTTTAACGACTAATTCAATTCAATTTTATGATAAAATTGGAATAAACATCTATATATATATATATCATTGAAAACAGTCTCTCGAAATTGGATTGAGTGTATGTGTTTGTTTGGGGATGTGTATCGTATTGTTAAGTAAATAGATGCTAGATATATTTCACAGTTCATCAACAGTTTGTTTGTGTTTGTATGAAGCGGACCAGTGACTAAATGCATGGAGAAAATGTGCAAATTAATCAACGGCCACTTGAGATTAAGTGGAATTTGTAGTCAAACGACGAAAGCATTTCCCTACTCACGAGCGTCAAATACCTACATTTTATGCTCCTGTTGACGACCACTGTCCTCTTGCTATGACTTACTGTTCGCCAGCAGTGGTATTGTCACGCTTCGTCCATTATCCTCTACACTCACATTATTATTAATTTTCAACTTATTGCTACTGTTCGATAGATTACAATTCTTTAGGTTATTTGTCTTTACTAAGTTATTCAAAATGGATTGATTGTTGTTGGTCAATGCGTTCACAAATGCAACCGTATTGCCCACTGATCCGGCTGCCGTGATTGTGGCCGCATTTTGATTGGTTTTGTCAACGGTGTGTGACGTTGAGGTTGGTGTCAGTAATACTAGTGAATTTGAACGACTTTTTAGATCATTTGGTGGAATCAACGAATTTGAACGACTTCGCATGATTCCCGTTCGCAGCAATGCCAATGGATCTTTGTCCTTGGGTTTGTCATAGTTTGGTGTAATAGCTGGTGCCGTTGAATTGTTCAATGTACTTGTGTATAGCTCAGAATGTTGTTCGCCGTTCAACCAATAAGTACGCAGTTTACCTTTTCCTTTCATTTCAACCAGGCCGCGTTCACTGATATCGAACGTTCCAAATTTATCGAGAATCGTTTTTGTACTTTGACTTATGTGAATCTTTAGCGGTTCACCATTCGATTCCATGCGGGATGCTGTATTGACGGTATCGCCAAACAAACAATACCGTGGCATTTTTAAACCAACCACACCCGCTACGCAAGGACCTAATGGATGAAAAAAGTCGCATTAATTTTTCATTTTTAACTATGCGTCTTTTTTTTTCATATGACTCACCTGAATGGATGCCAATGCGCAGCTTAAGTTGTTCGTTTGGTCGATGTCGAATTTTGAATTTATACACATTGTTAAGCAGAGCGATTGCCGTCCGCGCAATTTCTCGAGCATGATTATCACCATTTCTCACTGGCAATCCAGACACCATCATATAAGCATCACCAATTGTCTCCACTTTGTAAACGTCGAAATTTTCTGTGATCGAGTCGAAGCATGTGTACAGATCATTGAGTAAATCAACAACTTGCATTGGTGTTGATGCTGCTGATAGATGAGTGAAGCCCACAACATCACTAAAATAGATTGTTACTTGTTCAAACACCTCAGCAATGACCGGCTTGCCGAGAATCAGTTGCGCTGCCACCGACTTGGGCAACAATTGATACAGCAACTCTTCACATTTTCGCTTCTCTTCTAAATAGTCTTGAGTCCTCTCTTCTACTAAACCTTCCAAATTATTGGCATATTGTTCCATACGCTTCAACAAATTATCCACTATATTTCCCGTTTCATTTTCTCTGCAAAATATCAACGAAACAAACATAAAGCAAAATAATAAAAATAAAACCGAAATTAAAACCTTAAAATAAGTTAGATGCATATGTAGCTCGCTATGTCTATTTCTTGATGAGAATATTTTATTTGATACCACTTACTTATTGACTTTGCGAATGGTCGCCTTTAGAAGACTGAAATCGGGTCGTTCGTTTGGATCTTCTTTCCAGCATTTTGTCATGATATTGTTCAAATCGTCGAATGTTTGATCGTTTATTGTCGGCCGGAATGGCGCACCAAATTGTGGTGGCGTCCGTTTTACGAGTTCAATGATTTCTAGGAGTAAGAATGAGAGAGGTAATATAGTATGGTCCTAAAGGTAAAAGTATTGCGATTCGACTTTCACAGTGCTCATAATTCCAACATATCTTCAGTGCAAAAGCATTCATTACTCTCCCTAACGCAAACGCCATCTATTCGGTGCGAACATGAAAACAAACAAAGTGACTCCAGCTGCCAACCGATATATGAATCGGTGGAAATGAAGGCAGTGTATAAAAAATATGTCGAACAAAACGAACCACAGCGTTTCCTCTATATAGAGATTTTGGTGTATTCTAACTCTGTATGGATCAATTTGTTTGTTTTAATGTTCAAACTGAACAGATGGCGCTCGCGTTAGGTAGGACAATAAATGCTTTTGCACTAGCCGTATGAATTCCAAGTTTGAACATTACACCCGACGGCAATGTTGCTGTGCAATTTGTTGAGCCGTCTTATGCTATTCTTTTTTTTAATGCTTAAACGATTAGAATCACGTCTTTTTCTGACTCCACTGCGGAAAAGTTCGTCTTACATCGTTAGACCCTTTATTTGTCTTCATTTCCTTTGGAAACTAATTTGGAATATTCGTCGTAAAACACCTACCTTTTGGTGTGATATAGTTGTTGCCCGTATAAAATGGCCCTTGCCGTGTTGCAATTTCATTTACAATAATACCAAACGAATAAATATCACCCTTTTGTGTGCCCTCAACAGGAGGATTTTTCATACGGAGCAGCTCTGGTGCCGTCCAAAGCAAACCTAAATTATGGAAAGTGAATGAAAACTGTGTAAGTCATATACAATTCCATGGTGTGTTTGTTTTTAGACATAACTAGTTTTTACTTACTTCGCCAATGGGCATAACTATCTGAATACTCAGAATCTTCATCATTATTTGATTTACGCAGGCTATGTAAACCAAAATCAGCAATTTTCAACACAAACCGAGAATCGACCACACAATTCGATGATTTCAAATTGCCGTGTGAACGAATGTCTGTTGAATGCAAATAATGCATTCCCTATTTATAAAGTAGAAGTATATTTAATTTTGTTGTTGTTGCATTTTTCAATGAAATTTTTTTCTCTGAATTTTCTTGCAGTAATAAAGATCGAAAATAGTGAATGAAAGTGACTTGATTTTACTCACTCGAACGATGTCATGCATGAGCGATATTTTGAACATCCAGTCCAATTTGATTTGATCATTTTCTAAAATATCTTGTAGAGATCCTTTGGGGCAATACTCAGTTAGAATGCAACAATTTGGCGGATCAACGCATGCACCGTAAAATTTGACCAAGTGCTCGTGATGAATATCTTTCATCTGGAAATTTGAAACGGTTTATTTTTGATTTGGATAAACAATGGAATGAAGGATGAAATGCAATGGTTTTTTATCGTTTGAAACCTAACCTTTTTAAGTTCAAGCATTTGTTCTCGGTTCAAGTGAATATTTTTCTCGTTGATACGTTTGATGGCCACTTTGCAACTTTTATAAAAACCTGATGGTATAAATAATTGTTTGTCTCCAGCCAGTGAACCCAATTCTTCCGAATAAACCGTCTGAAAATGATTTCCATGGAAATTTTCGGATAAGTTGTTATTGTTACATTCATTTCAAGCACTTACAAGTTGACTTCCTCGTTTCGCTATTGAGTAGACACTGCCACGTTGCTTATTGATTTGATTGCAGGGAATTACATCATTCCAGGAAACCTTCCATGCCATGGAATATATTTCCGCCTCCAATTTGTAATGGCGATACCCAAAAAAAGAAATGATTGCCATCACCGCCATCGCCATACCCAAAACGAACGAGAGAATCGCATAACCGGGCAGAGCTATTTTCAAATACAATACAAAACACTTGAAACGTCGAATACAAACGATTATGATCAAGTAAAATGTATTGGCCGAAACTTACAAGGACACAATGAATTATCAAAACCGCATTCTGGTTTATCTGGTGGTGGTTCAGTTCTGCCTCCACTCCAGTGTATCTTTTTGCCCTTCACATACTCCAAACCACTGTGATTATGGTAATTAGCCACGACATGAAAGTAGCCGGTATCGGGATCCATGTCAAGCAGTGAGTATTCAGAGATGCGGTCACCGTTCTTGTCAATGATTACATTGCCGGTGATTCCTTTGAATTTGCGATTCCACATCAGATGTGCTAGTCGCGTACCATTAATTGGCTCGTACAAAGCGTTCGGGTTAGCCGTAATACTGTCATTTAGTGCATACGCGTACAACAATACTGCGTCGTAAAAAGCCGTCACAAATGTTGAAACGGTTTGATTTTTTGGAAATGAAAAATTGTAGCTCGTCGCCGCCAGCTCTTTGAGCTCTTGGGAAAATTGCTCGTACTCGTCATCGAATGTTTGCTTTCCAACAACGGTCAGCAAAGCGGTATATGCTTTCTTCGCACGTTCATTTTTTTCAGGCGTGTCTGACGCATTGTACCAAGGCTGTGTGTTCGTTGCAGGTTTACTGTTGGTCAAATTGGTATCGATTCAGTGCGATTCAAATGTAGAAATAAGTGCTTTATTTTTGTTGATGTTCAAAACTAATTTTGATGCTTACCCAGTATATAGCTCAATGTTAAAGAAAACATATTCCCCGCTATCGATCATTTTCAAATCATCGGCAGCCAACATAATTTCTCTAATTGTTCCGGGGCTCGCACACATCATTACAACTGTAATGGATTTGGTTATTAGCAAAAGAATGTATAGAATCAATAAGGAAGTTAAATAATGTAATGCGGTTTTGTTAATAGAAACACATGACTACTCATTAACTAATAGCTAAGTTAAATTAGCGATGGGTCGTGATCATGAATATTTTATTGTTGTGAAAACAAATCGACGAATTCCAAGTAAGGTATTAATGGTTTTATTTTATAAAGAAAAAATCGTTTTTATTTATTTTGTCTGGTAGAGAGTGTGTTTTTTTTGTCATCATTTGAATAAATAATGATTTCTTTTCTATTTTTATACCAGTTATGATTGAAACGACGATAAATAGATAGCGCTAAATTGTGTGCGTGTGTGTTATCGATTCATGTTTGATTGATCGATAAGTGCTTAACTCACTTCTTGATTGTTTTCGAAAATCGTTTAACATATTTTGAAACTCTTCTCGTGTCGCTAGTTCCTCGTCGAATGAAATTTGGCCGCGCACGATATTTGGAAAATGCTTTTGAATGGCACGCATCGTGAACGAACAATCTGAATTGCCGCGACCGGTGTTTTCGTTGTGATTGTGATACATCCAAGAGATGTGATGCCAGTTGAATTGACGAAATAAGCCAGCAAACGCGCTGCCGGCATGCTCAGGACTGCCGATCAATCGTGTTAACGTTGTGAATCCCTATATATCCATTGTTCGAAATAAATGCAATTAACAGGGGGGAAACGCGGTAATGTGGGACACGTGGTAATCTGGGACAGCCCACATATATTTTTGTTTAAGCATACGGTTTTGAAGGATAGTACTATGATTGCAGCTAAGTTCGAGTGCGTTCGTATAATTGATACTAACCCTCTACGAAAAACTGTCAACACCCCAATTTCCCCTTATATGAGAGGAGAGAGTGTCCCAGATTACCCTGTTCTCCCGTGCGAATCAAATGTGAATTATTCTATTAACCATAGAATTTTTGTTTGTGAATGCTTCGCTGAATCCACCTGCAGATATGACAGGAGTCTCCCAAACGCCAGCAAAGCGAGCAATTTGTGCCAATGAATAAGATTCGAATGGTCCGAAAATGACGTCTGTAATTTGAGAGAAAAAAAAACGGGTTTCGTAGAATTCATTTGTTCGAATTTAACCACAATTTTGGAAATGGGTTTAACCTTGAGTTTGTTTGGTATAGAGATCAAATGCAGCCATGGTGCCATGCGTCGATGATGTTTTTGTGTCACGATATTCAACACAAATTGTATAGTTTTCAAACAGTCCACCGGGTTGTTGCAGCTTTCGAATAGCCAATTCCATGGCTGGTAGAGCCTCTCTGTATGTGCATCCGATCGGTGTGGGATCCTTCGGTAGCAACACTCCAAAGAATAGCTCAAACAGATTGCCACTCATTTTTGGTGCTGAAAATTGCCGCTTTCCATTTGCGATGACGATCGACTTCCGTTGAAGTTTCAAATGATGCACAGTTGAAGTATTTGATTGGCAATTTATTCGTATGTCACATATACTGATCACATATAAAAATATCACGAACAACTTGTACTGGCTCATTGTTCTTTTATTGTTGCGGTTCATCAGCTTTCGTTGTATTTTCTCCCCCAATTCTCCGTTTTCCGTTAAGTTGATTTTAATTTTTCACTGGTTACGATTGATTTATGTACGGTCTGGTCCGCAAACTAGGTCACAATCATTTTGATGAGATTTTAAGCTTTGTTCATGTTCAGCGAATCATGCGATTATGTTCCTTACATTTTGTTCAGTCTGTAGATTAAATATTACTTTGGTTATGCCTTTGCTAGAGCATAAAAAAAAGGATGGTTTTTTTTCTTCTAAAAATGACGACTTGTTTCGGACTTGCATTCAGAACATTGTAAAAACAGGCTTAATCAATTCGAAGCTACCCTCATCTTATGCACAACATTTTCATTAATTTCACTAAAAGCACATTTTCAATTTGCCTGCATGAAAAATGCCTTTCGTACGAATACGCTGTGACGTTCAAAATGGCATCGCTCTAATCTTGGTTGATGGTTATATTGTGGTCTCTGCTTTGGTGTTTTTCTTCTCGCGTAAAAAGTTTTTAAAATGTCATTAGAAGTCGCTTAGGTGAAATGGAAGGTTTGAATGTGTATGTGTGTATGTGTGCGCGAGCGATTTGGGAATTTAATTCAATTAGCAATATGATAATGTTGAAAGGTTAAAGCGCTCGCTGTGCCATTCATGTATTCGGTTTTTTCTGCCTGCGAAAACCACAATTCATTTTATTTGATTCTTAAAACAGCCCAGTCCGTGAAAAAATGCGGCAACGAATGGCGGTTTGATGTAGCATTTTATCGAGTCGAAATTATATGGAAAAATACGTAATTTTGTTCGAATTTATTTGCTATATATAGCAAATTTAAATGACATGTGTCTCTCCCTATATTTGTTCAAACATCAAAAACTCCCACATCGCTTGAGACTAAATACATTCCATTCGCGGATTCAGTTTGTATGAAAAAATACCCATTATAAATTTAAATATTGTCTATTGTCATTGACAAAATGCGGCAGTGCTCTGGATATTGATATTCCATCGAAGAGCGGATTCACATTCGTGCTTATCTTGTGCTTTTGACACATACACACACACTCACACATAAACATGGAGAGCCGAGCGTCTGTTTCTGTTGAGCACACACCGCGCGTTGCACGTTTATTTTTACAGAAATGGCAATATCACATTTTAATTGAGTTCAATTGCTGGAATTGTTTATACTATGAACACCCAATACGATGACGTGAAAATCGCTGGATAATTGGATTAATTAACAATAATAACCATTGAATTGGATTACACCTATTTAATTTCGTCTGTTTTTTCCCCGCTTTTGATTCGATTCTCACCATTGCAAATTTCATTATTAACAGCCATTAAATTTATTATTGTCCTTTTTTCAAAACGCATTTTCCAGCGAGTCTCGTGAATGGCAAAAAACATTTTAATTATTCGATTGATTTAAATATTGATGGTTTACATGTATTTCTATTCAAATTCAATACTAAATCGATGAAAAGATTTCAGTAAATTTAAAATTTTGCATCTTTGTTGCTAGCTTGATTCAACAAAACTATTGACTAACGAGACTGTCAACACATTTCACAAGCAACTGGATGAAATGACAAACTTTGAAAACTTATTCGGTTTCTGTCATACTCGCGTGCGGAATTTCATGTCAATAATTTGAACAGAGAGCTCTGTACCATCTATTAAACTGATTAGTAATCAAAGATTACTAACTATCTAATTTATTGATAATGGCGGGGCATACATACGGCTTCTATTTTTATGCCAAGCCAACGGAGAAATAATCAGATAAGACAATTTTGTTGTATAGTTCCACGGGAAAATTGACTAGTGCCGACCTTAGCAAATAAATCAAATGTACAACAAACGAAAGCAAAACAGACCAATTGATCGACAACAAGTGGTTAATTAAATAAATACGCTTGAATCAAACGAATGTTTTCTCTGAATCAATTGACTGGCGAATTGGCCACTTGAATCAAGAAGCAAAGGAGAAAAAAAAACACTCAAATCATCAATGAATACGGACTAATCGAATGGTTTAAAGTCGATGATCTTAAACGAAGGTTGCTCATTCTGTTTGACAACTTGACGATTCTCAACTACTGGCCATGGCAAATTTTCAGAAAATCATGATTATTCGCATGAAAATCACCGTGTTTGCATTTAACTATCAGATCAAGTGTGTTGTGCACTTTCGATTCTATGCGTTCGGTCTGACGTTATCGCAACGCGGTGACGTTCATCGATCAAATGTCATAAAAGTTGCGCATTTACAATTTTGATAATCATTTCATTCAATTCTATTTTAATTGCATGCACTATCGATTTTAATAAATCAGTCGTTCCGTTCAGAAATTATAGCCATTATATAAATTGAGGGTTGTGAGATTTTGTTTCTTTCTACAGCTGTTAAACATTCGAAATACAAGTTTAACATATAATTTGCGATTTATATTCGTACTTAATTACTTAAAAACCAATCAAAATAGCAATTCCGTATAATATTAATGCTGTAATATTTGTCACCATAAAACATTCCACTCATTCATTCTACGCTGTAGTTCGAAGTAAATCAGTGTTGATTTCTCGATAAAAATCGTGTTTGAAATGTTTAAACGATTGTAATGAGGGAGAAAAAAGAAGTTAGCACCCAATGAAATGTAAGCAATTATAGCCTGATTATTCATTTGGGTCCATTTCAATTGGAATTTTATTCCCATTGATGTTGATCATCGGTTTATTTAAGAATTTAATTGGGAAATGCCAGTGAATAAAAGAAGAAATGCGTCGTGTGATTGAAATGGTTTAGATCCACATGAAAAACCGTAATTAGCTTAGTTAATGTCCGAAACATAAACTAGAGGGAAACCAATTAACAGGTCGTTTCATATATTGGATACAAAATTAAGTTGAGATAATTAATTAAATAATCAGACGAGACAAAAACAATTATCAAGTCTATGGAAATAGAGACAAAAAATTTACCGTTTTCTCTCTATCTCTTGTGAGTGCAATTCAAATGCGCAAATGAAGAACGAAATTCTGAATTTCGAATTGAGATTCTTAATTAGAAAAACTCTCATTTTGCCGAAAGTAAAAATCATTCCAGAAGTAATGACACCTGTTCTTACGTAAATTATACGTTACGGCAAACTTCATATTATGATGAGCAAATGTTCTCTCCCCTAGCAAGTTATTTGAGGTAATTACTCGATTCTAATAAGCATCGTGGCAATTGCACGAGTTTTCCGCAGATTTTAATCAAAATTCCACAAACGAAAAAGAAACATCAAAAGTGTCAAGGAATGTGTTTTGTTGTTGTTGTTGATGTGCTTTTTGCCATTCTCTTTGTACTTGTTAATTAGATTGTATTTAATCAAGGCTATTTTTAGCTGCATGTTGCCACCGAAAGCGCCCATCAGGTCTAAATGGCGACATCCGAATAGACAAAAACAGATGACGTTTATCCATGTTTTGCAACATTTAAATATACAAATGAGCGGTTCGATGTCGTCAATATTGACGAAAACAAAAGCACAATCTAAACAAAACGCAGTAGAAATACTCAAAATTGCCATACGCAATAACGGCAAACGCGCGCACACACACAAGCCGTACAGCGAATTCAGTCAACAACGAAAGTGAGAGAGACGGATAATGAGAAATTTAATCAAATTAAATTTAAATAAGGCACGACAGGCAGATGATGAAGGGCATCACAGTTTACGTATATCATTTTCGGTAAACCAAACATTGTCGTGTTTTCTTTCCGCTGGTTATAGCGGTGAAATTACAATAACAATCGTTGTACGATAAATAAATATTTGCTCAGTAGATTTACAACTTCTAATAAGTTTGTATTTGAAGCGAATTCAACAATTATTTCATAAATGGACACTTTTTTTTCTCTTCTTATATTGAAAAAGCCTCTGTCTTTGTTGAGCTCTTTTGAATTTATCAAAACTTCTACGATTTTCCTTTATTTCGTATGCAGGTTCTTCAGCATTCGAAGATCAGTTGGAGCTCATTTTTAGGGCAGTTTCATCGCACTTTCCCAATTTCACTGGATAACAAAATATGCCCTCTGAAGAAAAAAAAGAACGCCGTCGATTCACATTGACCTATATGTTGAACATGAGCATTTCCATGCGAAAACACAATTGAATCCACAGTCTGTGGCTTACAAATCGATGCATTTATCTTGAGATATGATTTATTTGCGATTTTTTTTTAAATAACGCAGACAGTCTTTTCTGATAAATTTTTACGAAAGCAAAACGAATAGCCAAAATTATGCCTAAGTGAAAGGAAAAGTCAATGACATTGTTGTACCGGGGAAAATTGCACGAATAAAACACGTTCGGTGAGTTTATTATGAAATCAACTATTTATCGATTTTAAATTCAGTGACATTTTCCTGCTTATCGCATTGTTGTGATAAGCTTTTGGATTCCTGCACAAAATCACCATTTCTTATTAAAAATAAATTTCCACTTTAGAATTCAAGTGCTAAGTATTGTTAGCATCGTTTAAATATCGCTTATCACTTTTGTAAAGGATATAATGAATGCTCTTATCGTAATGTTAATTTCGATTTCACATTTTTCTAACCGAGTTTTTTTTTTGTCTGTATTTTTGTTTTAAAACCATTCGAATTATTATTATCATGTAATTGTAATCGCTAAGGACTTTGGTTAGCCACCTTCAACTGTTGGTAACGAGCCCCTGAATCTATTTTTAAAATGTGCGAATTTGGTGTTGGACCGATGGTTTCATTTACACATATCGGCCATTCCACACGAAATCAGGGAAGAGTTGCAATGTGAGGTCGCCGAATTGGCTGAAAATCGGCTTGGAGTCTTGTTTCCGATAGAAAAAGAGAAAATCAAAATCTCAGGCCTAAAAGTGGCCCGACTTTCTGAGTTAATCCAGTGTGAATTTTGCAAAAAATTGAAAAAATCGAAAAAAAGGGTTTGCGGTAACTAAAATCCAACTGTGAAGTAGTTGACACATTGCCAAACCTATGGTACCGTTGGAAAGGGAATTGATGGGGCTACAAAATCCGCCTTGTAACCTATCCTCTATGGCCCCATTGGAACCTCCAAAAATGGGTTCAAAGTATAAAATGTTAAATATCTCAAAATAGTGGGGTTTTTTTGGCATGTTTTTTTTGCGTTTTTTTTGCGCTTACGTCGCGCCGCTTCAGATGGAAAAATAAAATTTCG